TATATATATATATAGATATATAGATATAAAATAAATCAAGATTGCCATTGACACTGTTACATTATATATAAAGCATCAGAGATAGACCACACAGATTCAAATACCGCCGGATACACTCTATTACACAATAGGTACGATTAGAAACAAATAATTGCATATAATAACAATTATATATATAGGCCTATGTATGTATATAATAAGAAAAATTCCATTGAACTTCAATTTGTCGTTGACCATCAGCAGCTGGTTATTGCGACACTACAATTACAGTGAATGCAAAATTTCCTATGAAATTGACAATTAGCTCTCCGCCTTCTAGATTAGTAGTACCGATATTGAAAGTGTGTTATCATCCAAGGCTAGCAAGGACAAGTCTTCTCTATTATTAATAAATGCAATGACTGTACTTCTTTTAAACAGCTGCACCAATGTGGGCTTGATATCCTACAAATTAAGCCTACTGATCTATGTTACAATTATTACATTACTATTTGGTATGCTGCATAATAATATGTCTGTGGTTTACAGGAGTAAATCTTTAATCACATCGGATCCAAATCGAAATTCGGACCGCGTTTTCGATGCGCTGAACGCCAGCCTCCGTATTCTTACACTCTGATCCGATTTTCTGATCTTCCGATCCTAAATTTCGTATTCAGTGTGAATGAGGCTTAAGTTTTTGTTTTTTTTTTTTTAATATTGTTTAATTCCATTGTCACATTATTTAGGTTAAGAAAATGTTGAAGCGTCATTTTCATGGAAAGCATGGAGAATATCGATATCGACACTTACGCTAATAAGATGACCAAGAAATCGAGCCAATTCCAAGGATCTCTGAGATATGTGAATTCTCGTAACACAAACCCTCTAGCTATCACCTTCACGACCATCTCAATAGAATATATTGTAGTGAATAAATACTCGGCAATTTCCAAGTGAATTGGTCTGAAATGTTTGAATAATTTTACACAATTTATAAGAAAATGCTGATTATGCATTACAAGTTTCAATGTATAAAATAAATATTAACAAATTAACGAACAATGACATAAAAAAAAACAATTAATGAGTCATTATTAACTAATAACAACAAATAATAAGCCTAATAATAATAGTTTTAAAAAAATAATAATAATAATAGTAATAATAATAATAACTAGAAATACTATGTTCAATAGAACATTTTTAAAGAGATAACCACTGTGACCTTTAACCTCAACCTGTGAACACCCCATGTTTGGTAGGAGTCTGTATAATGCAATTGGTCCAATCGTTAGTCACTAGCAATATTTTATAATTTTCACTATAGTGACCCTTGTGATTTTTGACCTATAGGTGAAGAGTAGTTTTTCATGTTTAGAAGGTCCTAAGGATCATTCCTGGTAAATTCGAGCTCAATTGGGCTATTTTGAAAATTTGACCCTGATGACCCCTATGTGACTTTTGACCCCAAGTTGTGAACAACACATAAATGGGAGGGGGGAGGGGGGTGGCACCGGTCCTACTGACCAAGTTTTAATTAAATCGGTCCAGTAGTTTGCCACTAGTGGCCTTTTAAAATGTTGCCAGAAAGAAAGAAAGAAAGAAAGAAAGAAAGAAAGAAAGAAAGAAAGAAAGAAAGAAAGAAAGAAAGAAAGAAAGAAAGAAAGAAAGAAAGAAAGAAAGAAAGAAAGAAAGAAAGAAAGAAAGAAAGAAAGAAAGAAAGAAAGAAAGAAAGAAAGAAAGAAAGAAAGAAAGAAAGAAAGAAAGAAAGAAAGAAAGAAAGAAAGAAAGAAAGAAAGAAAGAAAAAAAGAAAGAAAGAAAGAAAGAAAGAAGAAACTGCTCGGAAACAAAACCCAGTCAGCATGCTGCTGACTGGGTAATAATAATAATGATAATGATAATAATGTTGATGAATATGAAGACGATGTTGACGATGATGACAGTGGTAGGGATGATGATGATGATGATGATGATGATGATGATGATGATGACGAAGATGATGGCAATATACTGATAACAATAATAAAAATATATTTACACGTGTTCGTCTTCTGGTCTAGGTACATCCATTGCTAAAAATATACAGTTGACTAATATGGTAAGAATTACACATATATCAAATAATGTACAAAATTGTTAAGGATAAAAATAAAATATATTAACTTTATTATTTTCGATTTTTTGAACAAATAAATAAGCACCTAGACGGCAATTAATTTTTATATAATGCGATCTTCACAAGTTGCTGGCAGATTTTTAATTACCGCTTTAATGTAACAATAAAATACAATAGAAAAAGAATATATTATGTAAAAATCATTATATTTTTCTATTCAACAGAGGCAACAAATGAATTCACAAAGGATGGTTATTTTTAGTTAAATATTGAATTTAAGTTATTAACATTTCGAAATGTTTGAGTGGAAAATTCAACTATATTCACAAAGGAAGTTTTGTTAATTTTTTTTTTCATTCCAGATGATGACATAATTAATGTCGAAGTATTGAATCCCAACGATGGAGTGCATTTCGCATTTCAATACTTAGAGTATTTATTATAGGCCTGCATTCGAATTTAAGTTTGTTATTAACATTTTGAAATGTTGAGTGGAGATATAGTTTACTAAGTTAAATTTTTATAAACTATTACGCCTATACATTATTTTCCCCCTATTTTTACCATGATTCTAACAAGATCTGACTTGTACAGGGAATATCTCCCTTTGTTAACTACCATCTCGTGTGAGGAAAATAAAATTATGAATATGAATATGAATAAGTATCAGTTTCAGGTGACTTCACCATTCATGATGCCATCACCAAACCTGATTAGGGGATTCTGATCAGATGATTGATGACTGGTGCTGTCACCAGTATAGGACCGAAGTGTATCAGCATTTTATTGGTCACCGAAACTGATCACTTTGGTAGGATCGGCTGTGGTGATTTTTTGATTTTTATGAGAATTAATGAGTGGAATTATTTTGGTTGTGAACAAAAGTCTGCATGTTTTGTCAGAACCTTGAGATCAGAAAGGGATTATTAACTTTCACTTATTTGTTTTTTAGGACCTTTCCGATAAAGTCCGCCCCTCGATTATGTTGATAAAGTCCCACGAAATGACAGCGCACACCATGAGTGTTCGTGGGAGATTCCTGGCTCTGATTGATCAGTTAAATTTGACTGACACTCCAGATCCAAAGCAATATACTGTATTTATGTCCTAGTCTCACAAGAGATTAATGAGTGATTTTTTTAAACGATTCTTTGTGTCTTACAAGTCTTGAACGCAGAACCCTTGAATTGGAAAACAATCCAAACAGCTTAACCACCAAGGCTTAGCTATAGCTCCACTCTACTTTATGTTGCTATCATTTCCGGTACTTAAGTTAAGATTTTATGTGATCCTATGCTATTAATTAATTAATTAATTAATTAATCACATTAATTAATTAATAAAATATTATTAAATATTAAAATTAAATAATTAATTATAATTAATTAAATAATTAAATTATTTATTTATTTATTTGTTTGTTTGTTTGTTCATTCGTTCGTTCGTTCGTTATTTATTTATTTACCAAATTTCTATAGTGCCCTTTTCATGAGTAATTGGTAGGTTTTCTTTCATTTTCATCATTAGTGTCGTATAAATGTCTTTCCTATTACTATTAACCTTCATTTTCATACTAATGTTTGTTAGTAGGCGACGTTTTATTTAAAACTAATTACCGTATGATTTATTTCTTCCAATAAGCCATTTTGTACTCTAAACTGAGAACGCCCAAGGTCAGTCGACATATACCTATGTTGTGTGTATGGGGTGTATGTTCGTTTATATCAATTGACATTGGTATGGACATGTGCAGTTCAGACTACGAATGGCTTATTATTCTAACAAAAGCTTGTTTTCATTCTCACTGCTGTTCTTGTTCTTGCTACCAAAACTTTAAAAGCGTCCAGCGTCACCAGTTTGAAAGGCCGCGCAGAAACTTTTGTACACATAAACTAGAGGTTAATTCCAACAAACGTTCATCGCCCTTTTTGTAATTGTAAGACACCAGGGTTCCCCTATACCTACAAAGTGAAACAGGGCCGGTTTTCAGCAAGGACTGTACGGTACATTACTGCCATTACCACTAATAGGGCACGTCGCATGGATGGAGAGGTCGGTTAAGGATGTGTTCTAAAGAACTTACGGTTGTGAGTTCAAATCCCGTTTTGGTATTCAATTTACTTTTTCCGATTTTAATAAATTTTATTTTTTCCAATTTTAAGATATTTTAATTTTGTACAAATGAACATTCTAAATAATATTTTTTTGTACAAATAAACATCCTGATTATTTAAAAAATCGTATTAGCTCTTTCAAAAAACCAAATATAACTTGCGCCCGTACCTACCGTATTTAAGCGTGGAGCGACACGCGGACCGGTGAGCGGTCGCTCTAGCTCATAAAATCCTTACACACTATCGCCGACAGATTTTGGCATCGCTCATTGGTCGGTCAAATCGGGGACAGCTACGTAGTGTAACGGCTGTATATACACCGTATAACGATAGTGTAGCGGTTTCATGGAAACCAGGCTTTAAGTGCAGTCATCAGTGTGAATGGTATCTATTAAACTGAATATTATCATTTACTGTACATAATTTTAAAATCATTGACAGTATCCTTTTTAAAATTACACTCAAACAAAATTTCTAAACTATGTTCATCTAATTTAGGATATTCATTTTATTTTAATATCTTATTTTTTTTTTAAAAAAGGATATCTATGTGAGAGAATAAACAGCATGATCCTCCGAATTGGATTGATAGGTGAAAAGACAAACAACGCGTTTGACGCCGAGAATCTGTACAGTGACGTCTTTCCTTTGAATCTTTCTCCAACAACCATGAATGTCTAAAAATAGAAATGAAAATGGTTATTTATGACTATATAAATATTAACAGTTCGTTTGTAGTTAGGTGACTTTAAATAAATGTTTTCAATTTATTAAGTCTATAATAAAACAAAATCAATATAGTTATAATTATTGTTATCGTTTAAGTTATTCTTGTCATCAGCATCTACATTTTTATCATCTTCATTATTATTATTATTAGTGTAATACAAGCTTGTTGTTCTTAACGGAAAAGTAAAATGGAAAAGAGAGTAGTCTAACTGTCAAACATGCAATATAAACAAGAAAACCTCATTTGGGGATAGATAAAACATGAACAGCAAGGAATAAATTATAGAGAAATGTAGTTCAATAAATAGTAGAGCAAGTAACGTGCTAAAACTGTGTTCAATGACTGAATATGTAGTGTTTGATTATATTGACCATGGGTGATAATTTTGCCTTTGATCTTGTTGATGATTATTTAATTCCTCCGTCTTATAAGATTAGACTAATAGGTGTCTTCACTATTAGATTTATATTAAGGCATCAATTGTACACTTCATTAAAATACAATCAGGAAATCACATTAGCAGAGACTGAATGCTGAAATGCAATCGCTTTTTTCGACTTTCATTTATAATAGACCTGTCAGGAAAAATTTGGTCCGGGGCAAAAATCGGTCCGGCGGACTGTTTTGGCCTCATAATTACTTGCCAAATGTAGTCCACATAAGCCAAAATCAGTCCGCTGAAATTTACTTTGCTGCACAGCAGACTTGGAAATATTACGTCCGCAATAGGTTTTGGCGGAAAGAACAATTCCTAAGCTTTTACAAACGCGCATATGCTTATCAGCCAATCACAATGATGTCCCTAGCTGAAGGCTTAATTTGCATACATCACCCTATATAAGAGTTTAAGATCGGCATGTACTTGTGTTGATATTAGAGCCTTCGCGGTTAGTGAACATTGGAATAACAGTAAGGAAAGACTTAGCAATGTACACGGACATACATTACCTCACATTGAGAGAAAATTTAATTTCATATTCATAACTCATACCGCCTCCACGCCTCATATATTTGGTAGAAAGAGGGTGGGTGTGTGAACGACGTGAAAGTGTTTTTGAAATTTAACATGTACATTCCGCTACGCTAAACACAGCACAGTGGTTTCAAACCACCAATCACAATGATGTCCATCGCTGAAGCCTGATTTACAGACATCACCCTATATAAGAGTTTAAGATCATGATGTACAGTATTTGGCTTTTGTTGATAGCAGAGGCTTCGAGGGTTTTTTTCAGTGACAGGACCAACTACCATACCCCCTTCTAAATCCACTCCTCATATAATTGGTAGAAAGAGAGGGTCGGTGAACGTCGTGAAAGGGTTTTTGAAATTTAACATGAGATTCCGCTACGCTAGCCACAGCAGTGATTTCAAACCACCAATCACAATGATGTCCATCGCTGACATTCGGCATGTACAGTACAGTATTTGTGTTTAGTTGATAGAACCTCGCGGTTAGTTAACATTGGAATAACAGTAAGGAAAGACTAAGCTACTGTATGTACACGGATATATATTACCTGTAGTTGTATTTTTAATAGTGTTACAGTATATTTGCTATGAACAATTACACACATTGACATTAAATTTAATTTCATATTCATAACTCATACCGCCTCCACGCCATATATTTGGTAGAAAGAGAGGGTGAGTGAGTAAACGTCGTGAAAGGGTTTTTAAAATTTAACATGTAGTAACATGTAGATTCTTATGGCGCTAGCCACAGCACAGTGGTTTCAAACCACCAATCACAATCACAATGATGTCCATCGCTGAAGCCTGAATTTACAGACATCACCATATATAAGTGTTTAAGATCATGATGTACAGTATTTTATTTGGCTTTTGTTGATAGCAGAGGCTTCGAGGGGTTTTTTTTAGCGACAAGACCAACTACCATATCCCTTTCTAAATCCACGCCTCATATATTTGGTAGAAAGAGAGGGTGGGTGAAAATGTTTTTGAAAGTTAACAACATGTAGATTCCGCTACGCTGATTTCAAACCACCAATCACAATCGCTGATTTCAAACCACCAATCACAATCACAGTGATGTCCATCGCTGAAGCCTCAATTTGCATACATCACCCTATATAAGAGTTGAAGGTCATGATGTACAGTACAGTATTGGGCTTTTGTTGATAGCAGAGGCTTCGGGGGTTTGTGCACGTGGAAGAATAAGGGAAAACCTAGCTATATGTGCTCTAGACAGGGAACAGTGAATTTCAGTGTTCCCTGGCTCTAGAGTACACATATATATATATATATACTAGTTGTTAAAGATAGTTGTATAAATTGCTAATAACATTTTTATTTATTTATTTAATTTTAACAACTTTTATGAGGGTGGTCCAGTCCATCCAGCCGAAGCTGATCATAAGGTACCATGTACACAGTACAACAAAGGAAATTATGAATGAATTAACAGTAATATACAGTCGGTAAATTTAAACTACAGTTATTAGCCCTAATGATACAATCAATAAACATTATATGGGTGTGTGTGTGTGTGTGTGTGCATGTGTAAAATAAAAATATGTATGAGAAAAAAGTTACAGTAGTTCCCTGCACATTGCTTATGTTATTTCAAGTTAATCTTATGTATCTTATATATATCTTATATACTGTATATATCTTATCGTATCTTATACACACACACACACACACACAACACACATATATGGACATGTGGATATGTATTGATTGGAGGCTATTAAGGCCGAAACGGATTCGTCTGCAGATATTGGAATTTTTTTCCAGTGGATACTTGTTGTTTTTCCTTCCGCCGGGACCTACCCCTGAATTAAGGCTCTCTGCAGTTCAATTGTGTAGCGTGCCCGTCAAAAATGCCTCATTAAGAAACTAACATTTTTCTTTGTTTTGTTGTTCTCCGATTCCTAACATCGTATGGCGTTCCACTTCGACAGTAATTTATTTTACTTTTTAGTTATGCTGCCAACCCTTGTGGGGAATGAGAAACCAACATTTATTGTATTGTTTTTCAGACAGTTTTTATTCTTTTACCGTATACAGTATTGTAATTGTTTTCGGTTCAATGCGATGAAAAAAAAATGAAATAAATAGAAAACAAAAATAGCAAAAAAGTAATTAATACAAGGAGGTAATGTGAAATGATTAAGAGTAAACTTCAAACTACTTTTATCAATTAATATATATCTGTTGACATTTTTAAAAGACCGTAAAATGCCACCACTTCACTACTAACCCCAATTAAATCTGATCATTATGTTTCAATTACAATGTAAAGAAGCTTCTGTGTGTGTGGATTTTTTTTGTCATCATTATTTGATTTGTTTTAATATTATTATCTTTACTGAACATATTTATATACAAACCCATGTTGATTGATGGATGGATTGGGTTAGTTAGTCCACTTATATTTTAGTCTCAGATCAATGTACAGTAAATATGGCTCGATAGCAGTACAGTAGATAACTTAAGAAAAGAAATAATATTGTAAACTACATGAAATGCACTAGTTTAATGCCTTTTTGTTTTGATTGTAATTCTGTTATATAACGTTTGTCAACCACCGCGTGCTGAATGGTACAACAATGTTACAATTTTAATGCAGCGTACGCAGTTTACAAAAAAAAAATACAAAAAAAAACATTAGATTTATATAATTAATACGACTGGTTCTTCTGATTGTGTACATTTCTAAAATGTTCAGTGAGAAACATCGAATCTTATATAGCGATTATTTTAATTTTCATATGGCCTGGACGCAGTGTTCCTGGAACGCCGCCCTCAGCGGCAAGTGCGAAGCAGAAATCAGGGTCAAAAGTGGAACGTGAAATTTGGATAGGGTTTCGTAGTCAGATTTGCGAGAAAAACTTCAGCTACCTGTATTTCTTGACTGAGACGTCAGTGAGAGCTGTAATTTGTATGGCAAGGAGATTGTGCAACCCTTAATTCGTATTAAGGGAATTTACGCCCAGAAACCTTGTAGTTATTAATATTTTGGTTATAATAGAAAATATTCATTTTTTTGGTGACGTCACACTCGCCATATATAGTAGTTAGCATGCATACGTCATAAGCTAGATTACGTCACCTTTTCCTGGTAAGGCAAACTATCCCGGCGTGCTTTTTTCATGGATAAACAAACACCACTGCTTTGCACATGGATGCCTTGCCCTTGCTAGGGCTACAAGAGCCACATTGTTAGCATTGTATAATACGTAAACAAGGTACCTCTGCAACTGAATTATTCTTAGTTATTTGTTTTTGGTTTTTTTATTTTATTTTAATTTATTTCTTTCGAAAGTGTACTTTCTATCACATATTATTGTACTGTCTAGTTAGTCCTAGCCCTAGTCTATGTCTATGTATGCCTCATCGTCATCCGCTACACAGTACATCAGTAGCGCCACACCCTCCCCCCCCCCCCCATACAGTACAGACGTTTGCTGGGAAACAACGTGATTGAACCTTCCTTCCCAGGTGTTCATGTATTGGCATATTGTTAGCTAACCAGTTGTATGTATTTCTTTGTGAAAATGAGTACCGCGGCGTACTCATTTTCACAAAGCATGCATCCCCTCTTGGAAAGAGGGAACTTATATCTTCGCTAATTAAATGAATCCCCGTAATTTAGCTTACACTTATGAATTTAGCTAGCGCTTAAAATGTACAATAATCATTTCACTACCCGACAAACTCCGAACTTCATTCATTTGGCCTACATAATAGTTTCATCTTGCTGTACTATATATAGACCGGGAGCCCAGAAAATTTAATCATGTGAAAAGAGACAAAAAGTTTGATGGTCTGGTCATGATAGTATAGGCCTAAGATACAATATTCAGTATTGCTGCCGGGGCACATCCTGTACAAGCGAGCTGGGGGAAATGAAATAGGGGGTTAAATAATGCATTTAATTATGTGGAAAGAGACATGGATAAAAATAATTGGATATTACTC